TGTGGTGACTTTGGCACCAAACATACTCCAGGAAATTACTCCAAACCTCACTTTTGTAATGGACTCTAAATTTTCAGCAACTGAAAACCACACTGCACCAGCCAATTGGTAATAAATTTAAAATACCAGAAGATTATTTCAGAGAAAGAAATTGCAGCCATGGAACAACATATTTCTAAGATCAATGAGACATATCTGTCTTACCGGAATAGGATACACTTCTGGAAAATAAAGTAATGATCTTAGAAGGCAGAGCAGAGACTCTTTTTAATATCTTCCTCCTACTCCATCTTAGAGGAATAGGATAAGAGTTCAATGTTGTAGGTCTCTTGGAGGTTTTAAGATAGAAGACAAAAAATTGCATTTATAATTTAAATCTTCCTGACTCTCAAATCTTTTGAATTTATGAAAAATGCATAGCATTTATATCTGCTTAATGTACTATATTTATAGCTCATGTATTTGAGAAATTCCCATTAAATAGTTTGCACTTCTTTATATGATACAGACACAATAGACAACCATTTAACAAATGAAAAGAAAATACTTCCTGGTTACCCAGTGTAAGTAAAATTAACATTGTTAGACCTTGTAACAGGTCAATAAACCAAAGTTTTAGCAGTAAGTAGAGCAAGGAGATTTCAAAGTCAAGAATCCTTTTGGGAAAATACCATGCTTTTTCTTTAAAATTTTAATCACAGGAAGACAAGAGTGTTCTCATTTGCCCCATCGTTTTCACAAAATAATTTTGAAAAAGAGGAGACATTTGGGCAAACTAAAGGGATATCTTTGTTTGTATACAGTAAAATCAACATGTAAGTTTTTCCCAAAAGTTTATAAGTGATCATTTGTGTACATTACCCTGTATCAGCTAATTCCATACAGCAGTAAACAGGCAGGTGAGCTCTTACATGCTAGCCATATTCCTTAGTACTTTATCCCATTCATTAATTCCTTCATTCATTAATTCTACAAATATTTATTCAACCTTTATGATTGGGCACTATACTAGAGAGGAAGGATATGAAGGAAAAACAGGCCACATCCATGTCCCAGAAAAGTTCACGGTCTGATAGATGAGAGACACTAGAGGCAAAATTTACATTGTTCATTCCAAACTGATGAAATTAAGGCTTTCAAGGTTCACATTTGCCCCTGGAGAACACACAGTAGAATCATGGATCAAAGACAACCTTGAGAAATTCATTAATAAGTAAAATGTTCTCAACACTCAATTTTGAAATTTGAAGGAAAACAGAATGAGCCCGATACAACCTGAGCAAATTCTCTGAGCAAAGAGCAACCACAGCCAGTACTGATCCATCTAATTCCAGGATTACAGGAGATCCCAAGAGAAAGGGGAGGTTTGTTTTAAGTGGGATTTTGCTACATGAGAATTGCCTGAAGCCCTGTGGGCTCCCTTGCAGAGCTCTTTTCTCCTTACAGAAGTATTTGCTATGCCTTTGCTCAAATAGGTTTATTACCTATTTGAACCCTCCAGGTGGTGATATCAGTTGCAAAGAATATAGAAATTCTGTGGCAGATTTTTTTAAATGCAGTTTCAATTTTTCCAACCTGTTGTGCACTGCATGTAGCTACACATTTGTGGAAATACTGCCACAGAATGAAGTGTTGTAGAGCCTTTATAGACTGCTTATCTGATACTATTCAAAAAATGGAAACTCTGCTGAGCTCCATAAGATAAGGGCAATCTAACCTTGCCTGTGGTGGCACGTATCTTATTTAGAAAATGTACAATCCTTGTAGGGAATTATTTCTAAAATGTGGATTTTTGCTAAAAGGCCCTTACCATTCAAATTTCCATTTGTCAAAGCAGTTTTGGTGCATAGGGAGTTGTATTATGGTGTATAAACCAGATACATAGCATTTAAAAATGTAAAATGAAAGCTTATCTCTCTATAAAGATAGCAAGAGGGTTAAAAACATTAAAAAAGTTAAACATAGTGACATGTTTTCTGCCCCTGGGGGAAGGGGTGGAATTGCCAGTTAGCTGGAAAGCTATTAAATTCATTTTGACTAGAGAATAGTATATAATTCATTTTAGTATTTAAGCATAAATTATAATACAGGGATTAATATCATTTAAAAAAAATTTTTACTGTGTTACGGAAATGATGATTGTTTTCCATTGCTATTTCTCTTTCTGGTCCATTGTTTAGTCCCAGGGGCAGGGCTAAACAAGGGATCAGAGGTAGGTATCTGTGTTTTCCCAGTTGTGAAATACTTTTTAGCCTCTATTTTTCTTAGCTCTCCAGAATTCAAAGAGATTGATCAGAGATGGTCCCAAGAAATAGTTATTTTCAGTGGTCCCTAACTGATCTTTCGGTAACTTCCGTTGCTTCTCAGGCTTCTGTGTCCTAGCTCCACCATTCCGCTGAGCAAAACATACCTCTGCTGTGCTCAAATATTTGACTCATTTACTTGGACTGCAGTAATAATGGTTGATAATGTTCAAACGTGTTGCTCTCAAGACTATTTGAATTTTAACAGAAAACTTATGAAGAAAAGAGTAACTTAACACAAAGAAATAGCAATAACTGTCTTCCAGTTTGCACCTTCTGAAGGCTAAACAATATAGTGGCTGCTTTAGATGTATTAACTCTAATCCTTATAATCCACAGTTTATAGAAGAGTAAATTGAGTTTCAAAGAGCCTAAGTAAGTTGCCTGAAATAACAAAGATAGTAAGAACCGAAGCCAAGATTCAGAATTGGGTCTTTCTATCTCCAAAACTCCATCCTCATAGATCACTGTGAGACCTAATACTATTTGGGGCTAAGTGGCAAGATAGAAGGAAAAGTATTTTTAATGATAGGGGTCGTGGGTAACACAGTAATTCTACCCCTTGAATTAGATCATGATGGAAGCACCTTCTTTGTCTCCATGTAAGAACACATCTGAGATTAAAATGAAATATGAAAATCCAAAGAAAAAAACATATGCTAATTATTTACAAAATCATCTAGTTTTAGAGTTGGAAGATGTTTTAGACATAATCTAACTTCTGTGACAAACTGACCAAAACGGATATCCTCCAACATCTTCTTGACTGTTTTCAGTATATTGTACAATGACACACAGTAAATTGAAATCTCTTAATTAAAAAAAAATATACTCTACATATGTATGTATTATGTATTAATACACACACACCCACACACACACACATCCCAAGTCTCTTCTTTTTCAAGATTAAATATCACAAAACATATTTTACATGTAGTGAATTTTAGATAGAATATTATAATCCATGTCTCTGCAATTGTTTTCCATGATGTCCAATTGTGGTTTTGAGGGAAAAAGGCTATGTTATCAAATAAATGTGTGAGATGTTGGACTAAATATCTTTCCTGCAGGATTTCTATGATTCTTTGAAAAGCTCATATGCGTTATATATCTGCAGTTTTGGAGGTAGATTCCAATTCCCCTGATTCTTAGTACAGGCTCTTTCTATTAGCTTACAGTTTATGTTCCTCCCAAAGTATTATAAATGAGAGATAGAAAAAAAGAGCATAGACACAGACAGGGAGACAGAGAAAGAAGAATTAAAGGAGAACCTCTGGGGTTAGTTTTGATAAGCCACTTTCTAGGTGAAGTGTATGAGATTAACAAGATTGACAAGCATTTGAGGAGGAAATTCAGAAGATTCACACTTTGGGGAGTGTATTCAAGCAAAACAGATATATTGAAACATCCGGAATCATTGATGATGATATGTGCACCATCCTGAACCTAAAAAATTTATTCAAGATCTATTTCTGTTTCATCCCATATCAAATCACAGCCACTAGGAACATTGCGCAAAAAGTGATTATTTGAATTTGGGATGTGAACTGCTGGCCTTTTGGCAAAAAGGGGAATTGCAACTAGGTATTTAAACTAAATTCTCATTAAACTTGGTCGTGCTTTGCTAGCGTGCCTGTGATTGTATTATTTTAATACTGTTTAAAAACAAGGTCCAAGTCCAAGTTACCACCTTCTCTTTCTTTATCTCCCATTTTAATCTTATATCTTCCAGAAAGTTTTGCTTATTCAAGTAGAATTAGGAAAGAATCTCACCATCAAAAACTCTGCAAAGAAATGCACTGTGCATTACTAAACCTCTCTCTCTCTCTCTCATCCGACATTATACTAACAAACTTCATCTTCTAACGAACCAAACATGAGGCCACCATGAAGATTTAGCTATTTATGGTGGAGTAACATAAATGTGCCTGTGTGGTCCTGGACTTCTCCTTCTCATCCCTCTATCGTGGTACATTTAAAGAAAACTAGGGATTCACATCCATGTGTTCTGATAATAAAAAAAAAAAAAAAGACTTTTTTTTTCATCCAGAGTGTCATTGAAATACATATATTAAATCAGTAGTATTGTATAATTCTAAAAAGTATCTGATGTCATACTGTAGATCCTATAGTCTGCATACTACTAAATAGCCTAATATTTCAGATAACTATCTAATTTTAAAACTGGCTGGACTTATTTAGGGTGAAATTATAGTTGCTAATGTCATAACATTTGAGAAGCATCATGAAAGGCTTCCCATCCTCTCATTTCTGTCTTAACCAATCTGAAACTCCATGTTTGGATCACTGTTTGGATCCATGTTTTGGATCACTGTCATCTTAAAAACTATTTATGAAATGCGACTATTTCATCTATACATTTTCACATACCATATCACTAGCATGACTTGATTCATTATTTATTTTTTTTCAACAGGCAATTGTTGTACACCCATTATAGGCCCGGAAGTATGCTAGATGCTGCAGAATACATTTATAGATAAAGAAGTAGGCTCTACTTTTAAGGTATAAAAACCATAGAAATAAGACATGTATACAGATATCTATAATGAAAAGTTGAAATCAATAAAAACTATAAGGATTACAAGTGTGACACTAAAACTGCAGTGAAAAGAGTTCAGCTAGGAGGATGATTCAATCTTTTACTTAGTAATTTTTTTGTTTAACATTTACAGAACACTTGCTGTATTCCAGGTATCATGCTGGGCTCTGAGGATATACAGGTAAAAATTTTAGGTTTCTACCCATAAGAGGCTCAGTTTAAAAGGAGAAGGTAAAACAGTAGAAAAACTTAAAAATAAAATAAATAACAAATGTAAGAATAAAGCAGTACAGAAGGAGCTTTAGGAACACAAAGGCAGGTTATCCAAACTAGTCCAAGATTAGGCAAAGGTGGTTGTTGTGGTCGGGGGAAGCTTCATGGAGGAAGAAACTTTAGAGCTGAGAACTGAGGAACAGAGGAAGATAAAAGTCACTGCAGGAAGAGCTGACAGTTGTTATTTCAAAAGGGCAAGGGTATAAGGGAGTTTGGTACATCCAAGAACTGTAAGAGTTCTGCCTGCCCAGAGTCGAAAAGACAAGTGTGGTTAAGACAGGATAAATGACAACAGAAGCAATCAGGCTTAAGATCATGAAAGACCTTGGAAATTTTCCCGAAAGTAAAAGATGGTCTAAGTAGAGTTTTATGACAAGGGAGAAACCCTGTCCTGAAGACATCAGCATAATTGGAGACTGGGAAAAGAGAGAAGAGGGGGAGGGGAGAAGGAGATGGCAAGAAGGGGAGGGAAAGCGAGAGATTGAAAAAAAAAATTTTTTAAAGGCCCAAAATATGAGACTTTAGAAGAGGAAGTATTGATGGCATGGGCTGTGGAGAATCCCCATCCGAAGAAACCGTAGAGAGCAATCACAACCTGAAATTCCATTCATTCATCCACTAAATAAAAATTGTATTAAGTTACTGGAAAGTGCTAAATACTATTCTAAGAATTGAGGATGTAATTTTGCTGTCCAGGAGCTCACAGCCCAGTGATGGTGACCAACATTAACCAAATAACCAAAATATACACTTACAAAATGAAATAAGCGCTATGAAGAAGTTCACATATCATAAGACCATATAACAGGGATGTATGATTAGGTTATTTGGATTAACATAAGCAAAAATTAAAAGTACGTAAGGCTGTAAAGAAGGAATAGCTGATAAACCAGGAGTCTAAGAAACAAGTCGTAGAGCAGCTTCAGGTATCCAGGGAGCAGGGATTAATGAACAGGGTTGTCAGATGAATTGGCTCGATTTTCCATCTTTGCAGTGCTGCACAAGGTACAAATTCCTGTGAGGGAGAGTCAGAGTGGCCTAGTGCAGGTCAAATTTCCATTACTTGGTTAGCAAAGAAGAGATGGCCTTGATTGATAGCCCTATCAACACTACATGCATGGGGGAAAAGTTATTTCAAAGAAAACCAAACCATATTTCTCAGAAGCAGAATCATTGTTGTGCTGGTAAAAACAACAGATTTCTGCTTAAGAGGAGAACTAGCACGAACCTTAGGAAAGGCTTCCTGGAGGAGAGTCATTATTGAACTGAGACAAGAAGGATGAGAGGAATTAACTAGGGAAAGATTGGGTGCAAATGTCATCAGGGGAGTGGCTTTCTAGGCATAGGGAATGCACAGTATGTGCTCAGAGGAAAAGCTAATTAAAGATAAAATTTTAAAAGTTTGCCTTGTGGTTGCCAATTCAACAGCATGCGTGGATTATTCATTAGCAATCGTCTCCATTACTAGCAACAACATCGCTACTCCTAAGTGTGGGAATAAAGTACACAGTCCACGAAAATCAGCAAAATTATCTACAGGTTCCCCCTTTTCAGATACTTGAATATGGCTCTTAGGAAAATGTTGGCAAGAACCAATGTGTGGTAGCATAATTGGAGTAATCTATCACCCTTGTCATCACTTAGTAGATTTCCAAAGATAGACATTTTTGTGAATTTTGGGGCAGTAGGAAATTTCTCCTCTTTACCTGTTATTACAGCACGGAAGTAGGCTTCACTATGCATCCCAGCATGTAAAAATATATTCGTTTCTTTCTTTCCTCTTTTGAACTGTGTAGATAATTACCTCATGCGAGGCAAAAGTTACATCATTCTGGAGATGGAAGCAGCTTCTCTCTATTGCTTTCTGTGTGATGTTAAGCAAAGCAGGTTACTTTTATCTGCTTAGGTTCGCTTATTTATGAAAATGGTGGTAAAGCATGCTCTGTGGAGACTTTGCAAAAATTAATTATGTCTCTCCCTTTATGAGTAAAGAAAAGAAGGCACAGAGAAGGAATATAACTTGTCCAATATCACACAGCTTCTTGGTGAGACAACCTCTTCCATTCATCATGTTTCTTCCTGGAGAACTTGTATGTGTAATGGAAAGAAAACATTGTATGTGAAATAGAAAACAAGGTTTTGAGCTCTGGATGTAACACTTACTAGCTATGTATGTGACCTTGGACATTTATTTAACCTTTCTGAACCTCAGTTTCCTCATTGTTAAGCTAGTATAATAATGCCTGCCCAACTCCTTTCAGGGTCATCGTAAAGAACAAAAGAAGAGCACATGTATGGCTACATTGCATGCAAGTATGCAATATTTTTATTATAAACTACATTCTGAAAAGTTAGGAAATTAAAGCTCTAAATGCTGAATCACTTACCCAATTTCATTGGGTAATTTTCTGTTTAAGGAACTCTCGCAACTTCAAGCTCTGTTCCCTTTCCTCTAAACCTTGAACCTTCTCTTTTGTCTGGAAAGACAAAGTGTCATATAATTTAAAAAAATTTAATCTTTAATTAAGTACTACCTAGAGTGTCACAATATGATGATAAATGTGTATTTCTTTATAATTAACTCTATTCCCAAATCCCCACCTTGTTAAAACTGAGCAAGAAAAAAAATTAGTCATAATATGTAAACTAATATATCGGAAAAAAATAATTAAGAATTTTTTAAAAGTTCAATTTTGACCTTCAATTGAAAGGGGATAAAACATGTCCCATAGTCATTATGCAGGTCAAGAGCATAAGAATTTCCTCTTCCTGTTATATCTTGCATTGATTACATGGATCTTGGATATCTCTCCTGATAGAAATACTATAACTGCCCCACGGGAAAAGGAAATCAAATGGCAAGTCAGTTGATTCCTTGCCTCAGGCCAGAGACCCTCGGCTCTCAAGAAGGATGCTCTGTTCTCATCCCACCTTTTCGTTGTTATTCATCCCTTACATCATGCCAACATCATGATCTTCACAATCAGTCATCATTGACATCATCTTCATCCTCATCCTTATCATTAAGATTTTTTGAGCATTTACTATGTCCCTGGTATGGTACGTAGTAGATGGTGTTCACTTTCTCATTCAAACCTTACAACATACCCAAAAGGTAATTATTATAGCTATCTCATGTTTTTAAAGGCAAATAATATGCATCTCACACATCTCTGTATTCCCCACAATGTTTGCTGCAAATACAGATCACTTCTATATCATCTTCTGTAAGATAAAGATAACAGGTCTCTCCAACTGTTACTACAAGGATTATATGAAATACCATAAAGCATCTAGCACCACGCCTGGCATATAATGTGTCCTCAGTAAATAACATATTTCAATCAGAACACGTGTTTGTTTGAGAAAGCTTATGATGGAGCTTCCAAATTTAGCAGGTGGGGCAGCCTGCTCATTCCTATTCAAGTTAGAGGATATAATAATGATAATAATAGTCACTTGCCATGTATTGGTGGTTTACAGTGTAACAGGCACTACCACTCTCTGTATATACATTTATTTAATCCTCATGTAACCCAAGTTCAGTAGTTAGGCTCTCTTCATTCAATAAATCTTAAGCATCTGCCCTGTAACAGGCACAGTGCATTCGAGAAACAGCAAGTAAGACAAGATTCCCTGTGGAGCTATGTTGTAATGGTAGAAGACAAATAATGACTCTAATTTACAAATACAGAAACTGAAGCAAAGAGAGTTCAGGCAACTTACTCAAAGCCACAGCTAGCATGTGTAGGGATTGTGATTTGAACCCACTACACTGCAACTGTTTTTTATTTTAAGTCCCGTTGGGAGAATTATCCAAAATAACTTGTAATCTGTAATTACTGAGACAAACCCTAACCTGAGTATAAATTCACGTTCTGACCTTGTATGTTATGCATAAATGAATCACTTCAAATCCCTTCTGTTGAAAATGTTGGCTTTCAGATCAAATTCCATTTGATTTAAGAAGAGACTGGGTGATCTCCAAATTCTAAATATTTCTAATATATGTAAATTACATATATGCTAGAAATTCTAGGTAGGGAATGTGATAGGTCTGAAAATGTATCCTGCTTGATTTTCTGTTCAAGTGGATTGGAGAGCAGGTTTTCATAAAAGCGAGTCTGATCAAGGCTTACAGAAGCAAGGAAAGAAAGGCAGGGAAATGCATCTGCGCTCCCCTACCTTGGAACTGAACATTGTTACTCCTCTTTATAACACCTAATAGCCAGACTGGCACTGTCTACAATACCAGAAACAAAGAGATGATATACTGCTTCCAGGATGACTTGTGTCTCTAGAAACGTATAAGGAAGTGCGGAGACATATCACACGTATAGACCACTGATCACAGCTCAGCTATTCAACAAAAATTGAGTCTGGGCTGAGCTCCAGGGAAGACTCTGGGGCTGTACCCGAATAAAGTTCCTCTAGTCCTCAGTACACAAAAGAGATAATGCTCAATGTTTGAAAAGGTTAGACGGAGCCAGATGGTTCCAGAGCACATTTCTTTTAGGCTCCTGCGAATTAGTCTGTATGCTTATGTTTATGTTTAATTGAAAAGAAAAAAATATCCTGAAATGATGCATGAAAAATTAAGAGAACTACGACATTTAAACTCTAGCAGGGGTGTATTGTTTGGATTTACCATGAGCTTTTGAATGCCCTCCTGCCCCAATCTCATAGTCTTTTTCTACTTTCTTTTTTAATGATTGAGATTTCAATTCTAAGCTTAATTTCCATGACTCAAAAAAAGCAGTGGATCCTACTGGCATCCCTGCATCAGTGGGCTTTGAAGTAGAGCTGAAAAGGCTGAACAGTATTACAGGCCTTCCTCAGGCCTGGGCTTGCCTGTATGAAGTATTTCAAATAAAGTGGCTGCAAGGAAAGGCCATGTTATCAACCACATCCCCCTCCCGCCCCAAGATTTTAAACAGTGAGTTTCAAAAAAGCAGAGACCTCTTATACATGATTAGATCCATTGTATGTAGTGCGGTTTCTGGCATATAGTAGGCACTCAATAACTGTAAGATGAATGGTTCCATACATATTTTTGATTCCTGAAGCATGAACGAAGGGGACATTTTATGTTATTTCAACAATACCCTAGAAAAAAAGGAAGATCATTTATTAACTCTGTCAAATACATCAACAGGTAAAGTAACTTTGGCTCCAAAAAGTTTGAGTTTAGTTTAAAGTGTAGATGCAGAATAACAACAAAGCAAAGCCTCTAGAAGAAACACATCACTGGCCACGGGAACAGAAAAGTGAAGAAGAAAGCCATGGTAACATTTTATGTGCAGTTATACTTCAGTCATCTTGAAATAGTTCCCTCCTGACGAACAAGCAACTTCTCTTCTCTTCTCCTCTGGAAAATGGTTACAAAAGCTTTCGGAGATGGTTCATGAGAAGCAGGGGGCACCTGTTCTTTATTTCTCCTTTACACCCAGCATCCTGTCTTTCTGACCCTGGGCTTGCTTTTTGTACTTTGCTAAGCCGAACATCCAACAGAATAATGAGTTAGTCTTTGGGCGTTTCAATAGTGTTCTTTCTTACTGTTTTCATTAAAATAATGAATGTCAGTCTTCGATCCATTGTGACTGAAGGTTAATTGGTAAGCATTTTTTTCTGGGAGGAGTTGTCAGTATGGAAGTTGTCAGGCCCTGCTGTGTGCTGCTGAGATTTGCAGTCGTGGAGTGAGACCAGCAGAACCGGCCTGATTAGCGCTGTGATTATTTCATATATGATATAATCAGGCTGAGGTACTACAACAATGAGGTGTCTGTTTCCTTTCTAAATGAAGTGAGAATAGGCCTCAGAAAAGGAGGACTGAGGAGGAGGTGGAATGCATCACGTACAATCAAACTCTAGTGATCCTAGAAGAGTCTGGTGGGATCTTAGTTCTACAGAGGTAGCAATGCTAATATAAATCAGACACATTAAGTAGCAAATTAAGCAAAACTGCCTTAAACCCTTTTTGGAATAAGCTAGGGTATAAGTAAGCGAACAGATAGAAAAGGGGCATAGAATGTTTGGTCAAACAAAAAAGCAAACAAACATTGTAAGTCAATTTTTTTTTTTTTTAAATAAAAAGGCCAGGTGCTGTGGCTCACGCCTGTAGTCTCACCACTTTGGGAGGCCGAGGCAGGTGGATCACCTGAGGTCAGGAGTTGAAGACCAGCCTGACCAACATGGTGAAACCCTGTCTCTACTAAAAATACAAAATTTGGCCGGGGTGGTGGTGGGCGCCTGTAATCCCAGCTACTTGGGAGGCTGAGGCAGGAGAATCGCTTGAACCCAGGAGACGGAGGTTGCAGTGAGCAGAGATGATGCCACTGCACTCCAGCCTGGGTAACAGAGCGAGACTCAGACTCAAAAAAAAAAGGCTGTCCTCTCTTATAAGCCTAGTTGGACAGATATTAGCCTCCTCCCCTAAATGTGCTGAATAGGCTGAACAACAACAACAACAACAAAAAACAATCCTACTAGAGAGCCGTGTTTTGCGAATTTTCTCTGTGGGCAAAGTTCTTCTGAGGAATATACCAAAAGGTTCAGGGGTACATTAACTCTGTCATGGGCACTAGGATTTCATTTGGCGAAGCATTGCTGCAATTCACTAAATATGCACTGGTGTGTCACTTAGCAAGTTACTGATGCAACACAAGAATCAATATATCCGAATGGCCTCCAAGAGTCAGTGGATTTTAGAAACCTTTTTGTCCTACAAGGGCTCCTTTGCCCCCAGAAGACATGACGGCTGGAGAGGCAATAATAATTTTGCCAAAGTGACAGGAGGCCTTTTAGACATTGTATTTTTTTGAACCCTTTCACCATCCTCTCCCACTGCACTCTGCTTAGTCCGCTGTGCTATTGCCAAGCATAACTATCCCCTTTCTGCACTGTGCAGAATATGTAATTCTCCTACCATTATAACCTCTTCAGCCTCTACGTCTCTGCCAAATCAAATTTTTCCCTTGCCTCAAAAGTCTACTGGAGATTTATTTACCTCCTGCAGCAAGCTTCCCAAGGTAGCACCACCAGGGTATGGTAATTTCTACCATTCAAACTTCTATTTTCATCTGTATGGATTGTAGGGCACTGATAAGTGTTTATCTGGAAACTGACACATATTTCACACACACTCATGTGCACTCATGTGTTCATGTGTTTTTAGATTCATTGCTTTTGATAGTTACATTCTGTCTGTTTCAGAAGTTACTCTTTGGCTAATAGTGGCTACTGATGGGTAGGAACTGGCTAAGAATTTGGAAAATGATAAATTTTTCAAAACAGAAGCTTAAAATAATCAAGAAATTTTGTCTTTCTGTTCTCATCCTTTATTTCTACTTTTCTTTTGTTTCTCATAAAACAACATTCCCTGAGTCTACATCACTTTCCACACATTGAAAGGCCATTTTACATAAAGGGCTGATTCATTCCCTTTCTTTCTTTCATGATCCTTAGCAGTAATGCCAGAAATTTTCATGCTCAGGGCAGACCAAACATGGGAAGAAAGCTGCTCTCCTGTGATCACATCTAACTCAGTAATTTCACACACATACACACACACACACACACACACACATCGATGCACACACGTACTCTTTTATAACTAAATGCACACTATTGTGTCAATTAGCAAATTATTAATGCAACACAAGAATCAATATATCCTAAGGCCTACAAGGGTCATTTATAACTTTGTGGTTGACAAGAAAAAATGTGCTTAGAAACTAAATTTTTATTACAATATTCTGAGACCTGGAAGCATACTTAGGTTTGAACATTGAGGCTCCACATTTTTCTATTAACACTTTTTATGTAGAAATAAATATATATTTTTGAATGTAAATAGTCAACTATAGATTGAATACAAGTAAAAGCTAACTCTGTGGACACATTTTCTATTCTTTATTCAAGCCCTTGTAATACCAAGGATTTGGTGCTCTGAAGGGCAATATATGCAGAGACAATAATTCTGCCAAAGTGACAGGAGACCCTTTAGCCATTGTTTCTCTTTGAACTCATTCACTTTTTATTATGGACCCCTGTGGCAGAAGTTGAGGAAAGCAACAATAGCGACATCATTTCCAAAACAAAGGACAACACAAAAACTTGAAAATCTTGGTGGGTGGAATTGAATATTCACATTTAGTAAGCATTTGTGCTTAGTTTTAATGTGATCAAATGTGCCAAATTAGCTAATTAGAACTTTACTATGTATGCTATTGGCTATGAAACACAGATTCTTCCTTGAAAATATGAGTTATATGTTTTTCTCTTAATCTCCTTTTCTATTTTAGAAGAGATTGCTGTTGAATTCCATTATATAGCTTTCTGTTAAATTCAAACAAAAGTGGATAGAAATACCTTATTCCCTTAGCTGACGATATTTGTTGCTGAGTATTTCTCTGGTTATCATCAACCAGAATAATTTTTTGATCTTTAGAGTTTTTCAAAAGAATGCATAAAATTCATTTTCTACTATTGGCCCAACCACATTATGGAAATTTGAACATAAAAGGTAGCAATATCACATGCTAAATCAATCTTCTTGGATTATTCAATATTTATTCATGTTTTGGGTCTATTTGATATTGAGTCAGATTTTAATATAGTATACATACTTTTTTTCTCAGCATAAAGCAGTGAATTTTAGATCCACTCATTTGAAATGCCTCACACCTCCTCCCCAATACACACACAGTCAATAATCATTATAGACTGTATCCTGTCAAACTTCTAAGAACAGATCCACAGATTTTACGGTATTGGGAACATCATTAAGTTCAGCCATTTAGGGATAAAGAAATGACAGAAAATATGTGTGGTTGCCCTTAGCAACTACTGCATCATATGCTATTTGTGTTATCTGTGAGCTGCGGGGCATCACCTTCTTTTAAGAAACACAAACATGTACATACAGTATACCCCATGATAGTCTCCAGCTAATCACAGATTCTACAGTTAGAATAATGTAAGAAGGGGAGCACATATTCCTTTGGTTTCACTTTTCTGTTTATCATGCAGATACTTTCAAAATGTAATACTTTATTTTGCCTTGTTTTTCAGAAAAAAAACTTCACGAAATATTATTTTTATGGGGAGAATAAGCCGCAGAGCATTAGATTTGATGGCAACAGCAGCCTGTTTAAAATAACAATAACTACTTCAGCCAATAATTTGAAAGACTTCCTAATATAGAAATCTGGTTTTCAGATTATTTTTTTCTCCAATTTCTCAGTGTGCATATATTATTTTTTGTTCTTTACAAGATCACGGCGTAGTGTTTGTTATACGAGGACATTGAACTAGAAATATCAGTTTTAATCCCAGGTATTCTGAACTGAATCAAATAATGTTTGAAAATTGTATAGGCCAAAAGGAAGTTGTTTTGTGCCAAATTAGCTAATTAGAACTTTGCTTTTAATAGTCTTGCCTCTGAAAATTGTTTAAGTATTTCCACTGTGGGTTGACTGACCTACCTATTCTTTCAAAAAGGCAATTATAAAAAAAAAAAAAAGGCAATTATAATAATGAACTTGATAATTTTTTTCTAGATATTTCTCAATATGTTAGGCATTTCTCACTATAAAAATAAATACTATTCTTCAAATTTGCTTATAAATAAAATAATTCAACTGAAGTGCTTTTTTGCTGCTTTCTTAGGTGGGGATATATTGATGGTCTCTTTAAGAACTACTCCCCAGTGCAAAACTCTACAGTCTTTACAACTGTTCACAAATACTGTTTCTCTTCCTTCTGGTAATGGTAGGACTTGATTGTCCATCCTCACCCCTTTGTGTTTTGTTGAGGCTATGTGACTGACTTTGACCAACAGAATATAAGCAGAAAGGACATGTGTTACTTCATAGATAAAAACTTAATACCTGGTGTTCATTTTGCCTTTTTCGTATTTCCCGCATCCTCAGCAGCAGTGTAAGCAGGGCTTGAGACACAGCTTCCATTAGCGCAGATCCCTAGGTTACTACTCTGGGCACGACCGCATGACCCTACCTGCAGCTAAGATTTTGAGGTTTTGCAGTTACTGCAGCATAATTTAGCACAATTTGATGAGAAAAGAAAAAGAAAAAGAAACAAAATATCTGAACCTATTGAAGCTTTATCACTATAGCTGTTAGATTGTTTTTGTTTTACCTTTGGGCTACAAAGTCGAGGATAGAGTTGTGTCTTCTCCCCAGGAACCTTACGGTAGATTACAAAAATAGTCTCATCTCTCCTTTTATCTATGCCCTTTTGCCATATTATTTTTCAGGGTCTTATACTCTGACTCTGGGTTTCACCACATGACATCCTTTGGGATGTATGCAAAAGAGAAATGAAAAGAGTCTTGAAAATGGTTGGATGATTGGGCATGTCTTCTCTCTTTTTTTTTCTCTTCCATGGCCATAAGAACATACCTGGGATAACCTGCAGAATGATGAGAGATGTGTAGAACACACATGCCACAAGTTGCCCTAGTCATGCCAGTCCAGGTCACCTTAGATGACTGAAAAGCCAGCCAAATCCCAGACATGTGAGAGAACCCAAGCAAGATCAATACATCCCCTAGAAAACTGTCTTAGGTACCTGAGCAATAAACACTTGTTGTATGCTAATGAGGTTTTGAGATTGTTATAGAACATCACTGTGGAATCAGTGTCACTGATATACTCTCCTAACCCTCCTGACTCCTCACCTCATCCCCACTCTCCACAGGCCCTTCTGGAACATTATCCCCTGTGATAACTCCATACTTGCTGTTTCTTCACAATATTCCCTTCCAACTCTCCCATAAAAAAATCACTTCCTCAGGAGATAAATGGTACAAGTTACCTTTTGCAAAGCTAGTGGTACTTAATTTTCATCTTCCTGGCATTTTAGTTACCAGACTTTTCCAACCCAGCTACTTTTCTTGTCTAAACAATGGATGAAAAAGTCATCTACCCAAAGAATGTGTACACACGCACATGCGCGTGTATGTGTGTGTGTGCATGTGTGTATATAAAACACTATGTATTTTCAGAGATATCTTACATGCAAAAAGTGTTTCCAAACCTATATATACTTTATTGATCAAGTTTTCTCCTCTTTTATAGCACGGACAACTGGCTCGGTGGAGAATTAATCCTGTATGTTTTACAGTTCAGCTAAAACCAAAGTGGATCTTTTGTTTTCCTTGCCCTAAAACTGAAGGTAGGCTAAGGGAGAAAAACACTGCTGGGGGACAAGAGGGATCTAATATTTCAGTAACTTATTTAATGATCTGTTTATCATTTGTGTTTATCCTCTTAAAAGTACATTAGAGTTATATTTCGTTGGTTGAGTTCATATATAAGAAAGGCAAAATGTGTTTCTGAGAACAATTATAGGCCAAAATACAGAGGAAGACTTAGGGTAGAGTCCACAATACATTATTTTGTAGATTTTTTCAGACTCCCTTAATCAACCCATTGTGGCATTTTTGCTGATAAAAACAGCCGTGTCTTCGTCCAAAAGATGTTAAAATCTACTTTTGTCTATCTCCTGCTTTAGATAATTCAATATTATGATGACTCGACATTACTTCCAATAGTCAGAGTCTACCACCACATTATTTCAGTTTTTGTTTACAGTTTTGTAATGTCCTTTGAAGAGCATGAAACTATTTTTTTCTTTCCTCATCCATTTTGTCTTTTCCCATCTAGAAACTATTGATTCCTCCATCCTTCCTCTAAGTGTGTATTATACATTACTGACTACTGTGATTACATTCCTACTTTTTGTTTTATCCACATAAAAGATACATTATTAGCTCTCTAGAAGAAGTTTTAGTCATTTCCTGCCACTTTTGGAGTAGAGTTACAAAATCCAGTCTTAAAAATCAAAACCAAAACCTCTAATGAGATGAACAAGAGAGGACAAAGTTTTGTTTGCTTTCTTTTTTATTTACCTTGTGAGAGAGCAAACAAAGCTTCTTTGAAGAGACCTCACTCTGCATACATCTGTTTCCATATGTATTTAATGAGGATATGGATAGTTTTAACTAATTTAAAAAGTGTAATCATTTGCCTAACAATAAACTGTCATTTCCTCATTGTAAATCCACTAAGTCGATCAAAAGCAAATCACAGTTTTGGAGCACTTTTAAACACTTCGCATATTTTCATAGTAAATTAGCACTTGGTTATTTAACACAGGTGTTTCTGTAATTGCACTGCTTTAGGAAAATTCAATGCTCAATGGCCCTCAAGCACTTCCACCTGTCAAGTGTATTGGCCCATTATTAGTTTGCCAAATGAAATTATAAAATGTGTAAAATGTTAACTGATTAAAGACTTCATTTTGCTTATTCTGATGCGAGTTTTTTTTTTTTTTTCCACTTCATTCATGTTAAGCACAATTTTACACCTCATACCCCCACAAAAAGCTCAAGTTGCTAATGGTATACTTAGCAAAAAATACAGATGTTATTTTCGAATGAAAACCTTGAATTTAAATGACAAATAGCTTTCTACGTCATAAATCTTGTTTTGAAGAGGAATGAAGCAAGATATAAAGCCAGCAGACTATGCAGCAATATTGTTCCATGATGAAATGTCCTGAACGATACTGGAATAGTTCATTGCAAGGCATTAAATAATTTTATAAATCATTCAAAAGCCTTTTTTGAACACAAATAGTAGGCACAGAGATGGGAACGGGTGATGCTTAACATTGTGCTATGGAAAATGCAAAGTATATAAATAAAATAAAGCAAGACCCCTATCCCCTCAAAAACTTTACCAACCAGTTTGGGATCCAAAATTAATATGAGAAATAATGAGCAAACAGGTGGATGCTGAGTCTTCACAAACAAAGTGAAACTGCAGGTGAACTTCAGAAAATTTGAACTAAAAAAAATGATCTTTTCGGGGGTGGAAGTAATTAGCACTAGCAAAGGTGTGGAGGCAGTAATAAACATGAAGACCTTGAATATTACAGCTTAGGAGACTGGAAAAAAGGCATTTTGGTTTCATTCAAAAGTTGTGACTTTATTATTGTTGTTGTTTATGCCTAAGTATTTTAAATTTTTTTTTTTTTTTTTTTTTTGAGGCAGAGTTTTGCTCTTGTCGCCCAGGCTGGAGTGCAATGGTGTGATCTCGGTTCACTGCAACCTCTGCCTCCCAGGTTCAAGCGATTCTCCTGCCTCAGCCTCCCAAGTAGCTGGGATTACAGGCACCTGCCACCACGCCCAGCTAATTTTTGTATTTTTGGTAGAGACGTGTTTCACCATGTTGGCCAGGCTGGTCTCAAACTCCTGACCTCAGGTGATCCACCTACTTTGGCCTTTCAAAGTGCTGGGATTACAGGCATGAGCCACTGTGCCTGGCCAGTATTTTAATTTTTTGTTATAATTTCTAATTTGTCCCATGAGTGATTTTGAAATGCATTTTAATGTCTGAAAATATCAAGGTCCTTTCTTATTCTTTTTCTTATTGATAATCCAAATTACTTGCATTGTCCTCAGAAAATCTGCCTAATATCAATTCTGAATTTTAAACATGTTTTTAATTTTTAATTTCTGTGAGTACATAGTAGGTATATATATGGGGTACATGAAATGTTTTGATTCAGGCGTGCAATGTGAAATAATCACATGATGGAAGATGGGATATTCATCCCCTCAAGCATTTAGTTTTTGTATTACAAACAATCAAATTATACTCTTTTAGTTATTTTAAATTGTACAATTAAATTATTATTGACTATCAAATAGTATGTCTTATTTTTTGTGGTCTTCACCGTCTGGCCTCGTTTGTACCCGTCCTTCTTAGGAAGACTTTCCAAATATTCTAAAGGACTTCAGTGTTGTGATCTAAGTTGTATGTGCTTTAGGAAGCACCCCAAGCGCAGTAATGCTGTGGTTCTTAGAGACTCGTAGAGGTACTGCCTTGATTGTCTTGGATAAGTTCCAGGAGAATTCTCTGGATTACTAGGCAGAGATTCTTGTTCTCCTCCCTTACTTTCCCCCCAACAAATAGTGTCTTTCTCTCTGTTTTGAGCTGCCTAAAGCTGAGGGTGGAGTGACACAAGCTCACCTGTGGCCATGACTGCTATGGCTGCACTGGGGTCAGACCCAAAGCCATCGCAGCGCTTGGTCTCACCCAAGGCCTTTTGTAACCACTCCCTGGAAATTGCCCATGTTTGCTCAGGGCCCTGGGGCTCTACAGTCAGCAAGTAGCAAAATCAGCCAAGCCTCTCTCCTTCCCTTCAGGGCGGCGAGTTCCCCCAGGCCCCAGGTGGGTCCAGAGGTATCATCAGGATTCAGGGACTAGAGTCAAAATCCTTAGAAGTCTATATGGTGTTCTATTGTGCTATGGCTGTGCTGGCACTCAAACCACAAGACACAGTTCTTTCCACTCTTCCCTTTCCTTTCCAAAGGCAGAGAAGCCTCACTTTGTAGCCACTGCCACCCCAGGCTGCTACTACCAGTTTACCAGCCAATTTTCCTGTAGGGCCATAGAGCTATTAAATCAGCTTGTGGTGAATACTGCCTGGCCTGGTACTCATCTTTCAAGGCAGTGGGTTCCCCTCTGGCCCAGGGCATGTCCAGAAATGCTGTCCAAGAGTTAAGTTCTAGAATCGGGGACCCCCAAGTCCCCCCACGTGGCACTCTAGCCCCCTGTGGTCATGCTGGTACGTAAGGTAGAAGACAAAGTCCTCTTTACTTTTCCCTCTTCTTTTGTCAAGCAGAAGGCATTTTACCCCATAGCCACCACAGCTGGTAATGTGCTGAGTCTCACCTGAAGCCAGCATATATAAGAGGTTCACCCAAGACCTTCAGTGTAGTGTGTGGATATCACTGTTGGCTATTCAGGGCCAAAGGGCTCCTCACTTAGCAGGTGATTAATGCTGCCATGACTGGGTCCTTTCCTTCAAGGCAGCAGTTTTGTTTTTTTGTTTTTTGTTTTATTCTGGCCAAGGGTGTGTCTACAAATGTCATCTGGGAGCGAGGGCCTGGAACGGGGACCTCACAACTCTAACCAACACTTTATCCTGCTGTATCCTTGCAAGACGGAAGACAGTGTTCTCCCCCACTCTTTCCTCTCCTCTCAAGCAGAAAGAAGGGGTCTCTTGGAGTCATGAGCTTTGCAGCCTGATTTAGGGGAGGGGTAATATCAGTAACCCCAGAGTGGCCCTAGCTTGTGCCTCAGTAGGTCCTGTGCCCCACCGCAGTCCACCGTCTCTGGGCCTAGTGCAGCACTAGGACTTGCCTAAGAGTTGCAGTCATTGTGGCCAAGCCTGCCTTTCAGTTTTACTAAGAGATCCGGAGCACTGTAACCTGTGGTGATGAGGTTTGCAGGAATTCAAGTTCCGGCTGCTGGGATCAGCAAATCCCCTGTGACTACAGCTGGTTTAAATGGTCACTCCATGGGCAGTCATCAACTGAGTTTGGTCCGGTTTTCCTTTCTGGTCTAAGAGAACAGCGCTAAGTTCAATGCCTCATGATTGCTGTGCTCTCCCTCCCCCAGTGCCCAGAGATGCTCTCTGCATCATGCTGCTTCTGCTGGGTGGTGGGGGAGGGATGGTGCCAGCCATTCAGGACTGTTTTTCTTTTGTTTATTTTGTTTTGTTTTGTTTTGTTTTGTCTCTTCAGTACCTCTTTCAGTGATATGAAGTTAAAACCAGGTACTATGAGTGCTCACCTGATTTTTGATTCTTATGAAGGTGTTTTTTCTGTATAGACAGTTGTTAAATGAGTGTGCTTGAATGGAGGGATGATCTGTGGAGCCTTTTATTCTGCCATCTTGCTCCACATGCCTACACTCTAAAATTTTTGACAGCTTCTTTATGATTTAATATGTATTCAATTCTTATGATTGTTCCTTGTGTTCTTAAAAATAAAAGGTATGCCCTCCAAATGTTAAATACAAGGGAATATACATATATATACACATATATGTACAAGTATACATATATTCAATTAAATATTTATGTTCAAATCTTCCATTTTATTTTTTCTTAATGCATTTATAAGAATTTTTAAATTCTTTAATTTTTGTTATTTTAAATAATTTTTTCTTCAATAGCTCACATTATATTTAAGTGATTTCCTTCCATTAACAGTTTACTTGGGGATTTATTATTAATGACTTCTAAGCGTAATCAATTGATTTCTCATTTTTATCTTTAATGTACTAATATAATTAATGGATTATGTTGATACCTTACCTG